CCCGACCAGCCTTGTACCTGGCCAGACTCAGGTCTAGGTGTGCCCAAACTGGGCACCACTGGCTGATCCATATACCTGAGGCTGCTCAGAGGAGCACACTAGCATCGTGTTATCCCTACATGTGCTTTTCCTAAAATTAAGGAATGCTGCTTTATTGTATTTCATAAGGGGTCCAAAGCTCAGGAGGGTGAATGTCTCAAAGGTCTTGGGAACCATTTCTGAAGCTGGGCTGAGATGGAAATCATGGCTGCTTGTGGAGGTATCCCCATCCCTACCCTGGGCCTACAGAACCCACTGGGGGCGTGGACCCTGCTCACCTGTCATAGGCACAGTGTGTGGATGTAACCGTGGTGTCACTAGTGTCAGGAATCAGCCACTGGAAGGTGGGGGTTGTGCGCAGGCGGATGGATGACCAGTGGGAGGGGGTCACATAGCTGCAGCCAGCGTTGAAATCACCCATCAACATGATGTCCTACCAGGAGACACTAGCTGATTGGCCCAGGGACACAGGGCCCTTAGGAGCTCAATCCAATGTGTGGGGCCTCACCTCTATATCCCACTTCTGCCGGACATCCAAGTAGACATCATAGAGAGAGTCAATCTCAGACACTGCATCCAATGGGGCCGCATGCAGGGGGATGATGGCAAACTCCTTGACCTCTGTGGAGAAGGTGGTCATGCTAAGCAAGGAGGTGGGGGCAGAGTTGGGGGGCAATCCTGGTCCGAGGATGGACACACGAGACAGTACTGGGGCAAAGGGTAGAGGGTGGACGTTTCCCTAAGTAACTTAAATAAGACCAAAGCACTAAGGATGGGGAGGGCACCAAGCTCCCCAAAGGGGTGCATGGCAGGGGCATAATATGATGTGGGTCTTCAAGGTGTTCTGGGAAGGGTCACATAGGGCCCTCTTGGCCAGGCAGGGCAGAGGGCAGAGGAGCCTCTGTGGCAGCAGCACTCACGGGTGAATGGGGAAGAGAACTTGACAACAGCTGGCTCTCGGCTGAAGGTATCGTTCCCACAAGGCTCGCAGCCATCGTCATACTGGTAGCTGTCCAACACTGACACCTGGTCAGGCCTGTGGAAGGCCAGGCCAGAGGGTGCTTAACCTGGGGCTGGGGGCACTGCCTCATCTTGCTAAACACACCTGTTGCGGTGGGTGGGGGGCCCAGTCTAAGTTTGGGAATCACACAGACCCATCAGCCCAGAGCTCCTCATCCATGTCCTCCTGCCCAGGTGGTGAAGCCTTGGGGCATAGCAAGCACCTGGGGAGGTGGGTAGCCCAACTCGGACTCTGCTCTGTGGCCTCCAGGTCTTGCCCCCACACCTGGAGGAGAGGCTCATGAGACATCCCCCCACCACTTTTGTCAGCGACCTTGAAGAAGGCAACCACGTCTCAGCACCTGGGTTTTACCTGAACACGAAGAGGTAGCGCTCCTTATAGCTGCTGCGGCCCAGTGGCTCACTGACTATGTACTGATAGGTGTTGGGGTCATCCCTAAATTGAGAAAACAAATGTACCAGTCAGGGGACTCACAGGAGACATCCTGCAACCTACAACAGGGCTCCTGATCACATCAGTGTCCCTGGGGCATAGCCAAAGTGGCACTATGCCATGAAGGGATGGTCACCATCCCCATGTGCTTCCCCAGGACCCTGCCACCTTCACGCACTGATTGAGTTTGTCCAGCAGCTTCCCCACGGCTGTCAGGTGGCTGTCTCTGACTTCTTGGACCAGGGCAATGTCATAGCGACTCAGGATCTAGGGACAGGACCACAGTGGTGCTGAGCAGGGACAGGCTGGGCAGAGATGGGGGTTTCTGGGCCCTGCCTACTCCAAATCCCCGCAGGAGCCAAGCTGCTATTCCCAGGGTGCTTTCACATCAGTTTGGCCTGCAGCCTGATGATGTCAGCCACAATAGTGACAAAGGCCCTGGTCCCCACAGCTGACTGGGGGCTGAGAGCAGAGGTCTGAGAATTTGATCACCTCAGGACTGACCATTGGCCCAATGTTCCCAGGGCCTGGGTTCCTTGGGGATAGGCTGGCCTGGACCTACCTGCACAATGTAGTTGGAGAGGGTGGCATTGGACATCTTGGTCTCCCCAAAAGTCTGGATGTTGAAGGCTGCTATTCTCAGGGGCAGGGCCACGTGCAGCACACCCACCAGGGTGAGCAGCACCCCCATCAGCCTGGCACCCTTCATTCTGGAGGAGGAAGGACATTCCATGTGGGTCTGAATTAGCAGAGACAGTGCCCCATCTTCCCTCAGGGCCCAGCCACATGAAGCTGGTGGAGCCCAAGGCTGAGTAACTCTTCATGTGAAGTGCTGAGCAGCCAGGTGAGCCTCAGCCCTCTCACCAGCACCCAGAGCACCAGACACCAGGACCAAGGAAAGGACTCCGGGGTCTTCTCACCTCTCTACCCACCAGAAGACAAGCCCCTTGTGAGGGTCACCAGCCTAGGGAGGTGCTTGGGCTAGTGGGACCCTGGCTCACTGCCCTCCCTGCTAGAGGCACCCACCTGGCCAGAGCTCTTTCCAGCTTGGCCAGTCACCCAGAGGGACCCTGCTAGGCCCCAGGCTTGGTGCCTACCCTCCAACTGGCCACAAGTCACACAACTCTTGGAACACTACACACACTCACCTGAAACGTGACTTCCACCAAAGATGATGGGAATTCTGCCAAGAACCAGGAATTGATACTCTTTGATACCAATTTTCTCCTTTTGTTGCTTTAAGAAAAATAATTTGCAAAGGGAAGTCTATTAAGAAACAGAGCTGAGAGGCCCATGCAGAACTGCTACAGCGCTGAATCCCCAAATAGAATGCTCGTCTCCCCTGGGATTTTAAAGGTTTAGGTGGCTGTGACCTTTCCAGGGGCATCACCTGAAGGACGCAGAACAGTGGTGCTGCCTGTGTGGCTTTCCCACACAGGTGAGTGGTTGGCATGTGTTTGTTTTAACAGGCACAGGTTCCTGGTGCTGTAAAAAGAGCACATGATATTTGCACTTCGTTTTAAAAAGTCTAATAATTGGGCCAAAAGCTCGTGTGTCCTTCACACATGCTGCTCTCCCAGGGACGGGGAGCAGGTGTGCTCTGGAGAGGTGGGGTCCTGGCTCTGCTCCGGTTTGCAGGACTTGAGATGACCTTGGAGCCAGTGGTCAAGGTTCCACACTGAATGTTGCAAATGGAGTCCATAGTGACTACTCTGTGGCCCAGGAGCATAGCAGATCTCTTAGCAATCCCAACCACTGCTTCTTAATCTATTAGCTGTGAAGGGTGCAGGTACCTTGGCTAGAAGCTGGGGCTCTATGGGGTACATGTGCGATGCAGCACTGGGAGCTGTAGGTCTTGGGTGCCAGGCCAGCAAGGCAGTAGAGAACATTCTGAGGCAGGAAGACAGCCTGTGGGTTCCAGGCACAGGTGACCCGAGTCACAAGGACACTGTCAGGCAGCAACTATGAGGTTTCATGATAGGCCTTGGGTCCTGTCATTTCTTTCTGGAATCCTTGACTTTCCCATTTGTATTCATTTCTTGTGGCTGCTGTAATAAGTCACCACAAACTTGGTGGCTTAAAACAATAAATTTATTCTCTAACAGTTTTAGAGGGCAGAGTCCAAAATCCATTTCACTGAGCTGAAATCAAGGTGGTGCGAGGCCACACTCTCTCCAGAGGCTCTATGGAGGGTCCTTCCTGCCTCTTCAGCTCCTGGGACTCCTGGGGTTTCTGGCTTGTGGCTACATCGCTTCAGTCTCTGCCTCCATCTTCATGCTGCCCTCTGTGTGTCAATTCTCCCTCTGCCCCCTCTCATAAAGATATAGGTGATTGGATTTAAGGTTCTCCCAGATAATCCAGGACCGTCTCCCCATCTCAAGATCCTTAATCACATCTGCAAAGTCCTTTTTTTGCTATTAAGTTTCAGATTCCAGGTTTCAGGTTCACAGGTTCCAGGAATTAGGACATGGGGTGCCATGATGCAGCCCACCGCCCCATCCAAGGGGGCTCTGCCCCATGTGGGGAGAGCCGGGTTCCTCCCTGGGTTGGAAGGGTCTTGCTGTACGAAGGTGGGTGCAGGGCTGCAGGGGGGCGACAGGTCTAGGAGCAAGGGTAGCTTGAGGGCAGCAGTCAGTAGGGACCAAGGTCTAAGTCACAAAAGTGCCACAGATCAGGCCAGCTGGTCCTGCAGCAGGGGACGCGGAGGGGATTAAAAGCAGTTCATTAGGTAAATCAACCTCACAAGACTAGAACCAACTGAAGTAATGAAAACATGGTGACAGACAGCTCTGGCTGTCAGCATGAATTCTAATGAGCTCATGTGTCCCTTCATAAGGTATCCGTAAGATGAAATCAGGTGGCCTGGTCCTCAAGTTTCCAGGAGCCCCATTGCAGCCTTTTGCAAAGGTTTGACAGCTGATTCTCCCATTTTCAATCCCCAAGACTGGGATAGCTTTCATTTTTTTAAATCCTCACTGAAGGATATGCTTTTTGACTTTAGACAGAGGGGAGACAGAGAGGGAAACATCAATCTTAGAGAGAACCGATTGGTTGCCTTCTATAAGTGCCCAGACCAGGAATCGAACCCACAACCTTTTGATGTACAGGATGATGCCCCAATCTATTGAACCACACTGGCCAGGGATACCTTTAAGCATGTCAAAATCCAGATGCCAACCACCAAGCAAGACACTGGCCTAGATCCCTTTCTTTCATGTGTTTCTTTCCTGGACACACTTGCCTGACATTTTGAGGGGAGCATGTGAGCAAACACAGAAGGGGGGCCTGGTCCAGTATTTGGCCAGACATGGAACACTGACCACAGGTAGTACAGTCGTGGCTCATACTGCGAGTACCCTGCCCTTCCAGTTCTCAGTACATGGGACTCAGGTACCTGTCTGTAGGCACTTGGGCCTTCCTCTGAACCAAATGCTGCCCTTCTGCTCTGAGGGAGCTCCCAGCCACTGTCCCTGCCCTCTTCCCAACATGCCAGAAGAAAGGTCCCAACCTTGGCCCCACTGGTACAAAGTGCCAAGCTCTGTTGCCATTTTGGCTGCCCTCAGAGTTGGGCCTGCATGAGAGGCAGCGCAGCCCAGGGAAGAGCCCAGGAGTTAGGGATTTGAGGCCCAGAACAGGTTCATCCACTGAACCTTCAACCATTTTGTGCCTCAATATCTTCATCTATAAAAAGGGGATAAAACCATCACTGCTTTCCTCTTAAGGATCAGTGGATATAACATTACTCCACAGAAGAATCATTCCACATCTCCTTAAAAATCCATCTATCCCTAAGAACAATAACCCTCTCCCGTGGTGTCTTTCCATTACTCTTCTTTCTCTCATGGATCTCTTTTCTATCAGTCAGCTGTTGCTTTGTAACAAGCAACCCCAAAATTCAATGTGTACAACAATATGCATTTTTTTCTCACTCATAGGCCACAGACCAGCTGGGAGGGCTCTGTTCCTTGGACCACTTCTAGGGCCAGGCTAAAGGGGCTACAGCTACCCAGGGCATGCTCATCGAATGGAAAATTTCCATAGGGGTAAACAAATACACAATGCTTCAGCCTGGAATTTGCACATTGCCATTTTTTCCCATATTTTCTTGGTCTTAGCCAGCAAGAGGGCCAAGCCCAATACCAATGGTGGGAGTCGGGGGTATACTCCACCTGTACCGGGTCCGACACTGGAGATGCAGAGGGGTGCCAGGGAAGAAAAGGGTGCTTCTGGCATTTTTCAAAGTCACATCAGTAGGAAAATGGACACTGACAGCAGACTACTTTCTCTGATCACAGTGAGCTATTTTTACATTAACCCCAAGAGTCTGCCACCCTCTTTGGTTAAACATGGTCCAGATACAGGTAGGGGAAACAGCACATCATAATGAAGTTGGAGCCAGTCTCGATCTCTGATGTGGCTGAAACCAAAGGATAAAGAAAAAATCCTCTAAGCACTGAGGCTGGGAACAAATGGCTTCAAGGGAAACCTGACGGACAGGTTGTCAGGCTTTAAGCAATAAGAGGGCATGAGACCTTGTGACCCATCCCTGAGAGCTGTGGGGGCAGAGACTGACAAGCTGTACACCAATGTATGCCCCAGGGGAGAGGGACGTCTACAGATGCAGAGAGAAAAGGGTGGGGCACAGAACTCTGGTTCCCAAAAGTGTGCTGAGGCACCCTTGACCCCACAATGAACTCTGGCACCATAGGATACTTTTACTTTTGAGGGGACAGTGATTCTCAACATTTTTTGACACCTCATGGTTTCAACGTATTTTGCTACATCACTTTCTTTGATTTCATGTCTCTGCAAAGCTAGGTTTCTGGTAGTTATCGAAAAAGCAAATACAGTGCGAAATTATTGTGGAACAGGAAACAAGGGTGGCAGTGTCCAATCTGATTCCAAGATTTAAGAAAAACCCAACAGGTATACACATTCCATTTGTAAGTAATTGTGGCTACCTAAAAATGAAATGAAAAAATTTTTTCTTTAAATTTATATGTATTACTTTTCCAAATGTCCACTGTAAGTAGCTAGGACATAAATACTTACTAAGTTGTTTGGACTTATCTAAAAAGTGAAACTGTTAGATATTTCTTTTGGCCTGTGGTCCCTTAAAATACTGAACGTTAAGTAGAGGCGTCTGAACTGAGACTGTTTGGAATTTAACATACGTAAGGGGTATGTATGCCTGCATTACTATGTCATATATCTTATTATACTGATAGACCTTCTCTTCTGGACTTCATCGTTTACAACATATTAAATACCTGCCACAAAGAAAATTTCAAGTCTATACACTGCTAATGAGATGAATAATTTCAAAACTACAAACTTGAATAGATTAAACATCTCAATCATGTTTAAATGCATGAGAGTTCATACTGATGTAAAAAATTCATCGGTCACCTTTGGGAGATAGATACAAGGGAGCCAACTTGTTATTCTGCAAACTGGCAAACTAAGTCAAAGAATTAAGAACCTGCCCTGCCTTTCCTATGTACCTGGCACCACTGAGACAAATTTCTCTGTATGGAGGAGTATTCCAGCTAAACAATAAGGAAGGACTGCTAGAATTTGAGGCTCAACAATTTGCAACCCTTCACCTAGACAAGGATTACCAATGACTACAACCAGCCTCCAGATCAGAGAACACAACAACACTTAGGAAGAAGCTTGCCAAGACCATCATAAATCTGAGCAAGCCTCTAGGGGCAGAGGCTCATGGTCACCAGCATTATGGGGACACAGCACAATCCAGACTGTGGGAAACTACAGGACCAAGGATGATCTCACCATCAAATTTCAAGAAAAAAAAAAAAAGAGAAAAGAGGAGAAATTAACAGATTAAAAAGAACCTTGCCCGCCCAGGCGTAGCTCAGCGGTTGAGCATCGACCTAGGATCCAGGCGATCGGGGATCGATTCCCGGTCAGGGCACATGCCCGGGCTGTGGGCTCGATCAATGACTCTCTCATCATTGATGTTTCTATCTTTCTCTCTCCCTCCCCTTTCCTCTCTCTGAAATCAATAAAGATATATTTTTTTTAAAAAAGAAAAGAACCTTGAGATATATCACTAAATGCAATGTGATCCTCATCAGGATCCTGTAAAACAATAAATTCTTTGACCATTTAAAAAATCATTGCTTAACAAACAAATCATTTAAGATGCAATTAGGGAAATTCAAACACTGATCTGGTAAATAATGAAGTTATTAGATTTTTAGGTTTGGTAATGTGGTAATAGCATTATGGTTATTTCAATGTCACACTGAAATATTTAAGGATGAAATAATACAATGTCTGGGATTTGCTTCAAAACATTGGCCCTGAAACTGGGTAGTGAGTATATGAAGGTTCATTATACTAGTCCCTATTTTTGAATATGTTGACATTTTTAATTAAATCAAAATTTTTACAAGCCATGCAACTGAATACAGTGCATCATTTAAAAATGGGGTAACAAAAAGTTAATATTAAAAATGAAATCACTCAAAATGTTTTAAATGCCCAATTCTGCACATTAGAAAGAAGCTCTGGTCACTGTGAGGATCAGGGCTGGGCTTAGGAAGAGGGAAGGTGAGCAGGTTGGCTTGGGGTGAGGGACAAGGGCAGTTAAGAACAGAAGGGATGGCAAGGTGGGGAGAGCTGCAGAACTGGTGGCAAAATGGATGTGGAGAGTAAGAAAAGATTTCAAATTGTCATAAATTGTGGGTTGATAGACAATGATAAGCTGTCAAATCCTGAGGGTCAGTGGTTTTCTACCTGCTAAGGAAATAGTCCTGACTCTCTTCTGAGGTGGAACCTCGTCCCTGATTCTAGCCACAGCTGGGATATCTCCACTCGACTCCAATAGGCTTTTTAAACTTCTCGCAGCAAAACCAGACTTCAGACTGAGTCTCTGGTTGCACTCCCACTATGGCCTGGCCTCCAACCAGATGATTAGATACCCAATAGTTGTCTGGGTCCCCACTTTCCCTCAGCCCTGCCCCCAAATGCACCCTGAGTCTGCACTCCTCCAGGTTCTGCAGCCACCACACTGGTTCTTCCCTGAATACACACAAAGCCTCCCAGTGGTCACCTAGCACATCTTGTGAATGTGTAATTAGATCATGTCATTCCCCTGCTTAAAATCTGTCATCGGTTTCTCATTGTCCTTAGGATGAAAGATGGTGCCTACCAAGACACAAGCAATTCTAGCTCAGGGCTTCCACTTGGCCTGGAGGGCCAGAGCCACCTTGTCATTCCCATTTCAGCTCAAATGTGACTTCTTCAGGGAGGTTCTTCTCTCCCTATCCACATGCTCCCAGTGTCATTTATCATGACCCTTATCACTTCTTTTCTTTAATGTATTTGTTCTTACTTGTTTATACTCATTTAAGGCCTGCCTCTTATAGAACACAAGCCCCATGGAGCAGGGACCTTATCCATCTTGTCCATGAAACTGCCTCATGCCTAAAACATTGCCTGGAACACAGGAGGCACTCCATAGACAAAAGCTGAATGCAGTAATGTATGTGCTTACCACCTGCTCCCCACCATTTTGGGCAGCCTTCCTGGCCTCATAGAGAGAACTTCCCTTCCTCATGGACCCTCCTGAGGGAACACAGCACAGCCTCCTGTCCTGAAGCACAAGGGACACTATAGGGCATCCAAGTGGCCTCTGGGCACCTGGCTTAAGCTCACCAGAAGCTCCCAGGAGCTGATGACTGTTGTGGCCCCATAAGCATGCCCCCTTCAGCCAGGCTCCACCCATGATTCCTCCTGTCCCCTCAGGAGTAGTGTTCATTAACCCTACAGATAGCATTTTAGAGGGCAAAGGGACTTCTATCTTTTACTACAGAGAAACAGATGTCTTTGCTGTGACATTGCTTTAATCCCTGTCAACCTGTTTGGGTCAGTAGTCATCTCTCAACTCAGCACACTGGCCTTGGTCCAGCCACAAATCACCAGCCCTCATGAATTTATTTCTGTTCATTATAAAGAAACCATTAACCCAGGATGGAAAATTTCTCAGGAGAGAGGTCTGAATTGCTACAATCCAAAACAGCTTCACAGTCACGCTCAGCAGCAGCCGGCTTCCTCACCTCCAGCCATGCCTGTGCCCAGCATGTCAATGGAACAGGCAGCACTCGAGTTCCACAGAACATGAGGCCTGAACAACAACGTATGTGCCCCTTCTGCAAATCACAGACAAGCCTCTACTGGTTCCCCAACCACCCTGCCCCTCAATGCTACTTTTCTGCACTCTACATTCAGAAGTTAGCACACTTTTAGCTTTAGACCATGAGTACAAACACACTTGTGTTCCTTATAATAAACCCAAGGCCCTTAAAGATTTCATTCATCACAGAAATTAGACTGAACTCCCAATGTGCTAGTAATGTTTCCAACAAGGTTGTGATAGAAAAAGTTCTCCAAATTTCCAACACCCTTTTTGTCTCTCCCAAGCATAAAAAGACTTCTCATCAGCACCCACTCTCCACCGAAGGCTGAGGTTCTACAGAAGGGGTGAGCAGGATTCTGAGGGGCCAGACTGCCAGCTGGTCACACAGGTGCTTGCAGGAACATTTACTATTCATCTGTCTTGTAGTTCACTGAGCCCCTTTTCAGCTGTCTCTCACTGCTGGTAAATCCACCTACTGAATTTTAGTTTATTTTTTTGATCTATCAACTGACTTTGATTTGGTATACAAAAAGTGTTCTCAAAAGAATCTACAATTAAATGGCAGTGATGTTTCACTTATTTCATGATTACAGTAATCTCCTTTTGAGGGTGAGGTCAAATCCTTTTTTTCCTTTTATGTCCATATTACATTTTATTTTTTAAAAAATCTATCTTTATTGATTTCAGAGAGAAGGAAGGACAGGGAGAGAGAGAGAGAAACATCAATGATGAGAGAGTCATTGATCGGCTGCCTTCTGCATGCCTCTGCTGAGGATTGAGCCTGCAACCCAGGCATGTGCCCCAACCAGGAATCAAACAGTAATCTCCTGGGTCATATCTGGTCCTGAATTCTTCGGCCACTCTCTCCTGGCACTCTATGCAGTTATTAGCATTTGAAGATAGCGTACTTGCCATCAGCCCTTTGAAAAAACTACTTTCACCGTGATTATGGCGTCTTGGGTCAAAACAGTTTTTTCTGGGTCCTGAGGATGTGGTTTATATTTAAGTCTCTCATCTACTGAAATCATATTTATAAATGGAATATTAGTGGATTTAAGTTCCATTGTTTTCTCTACAGGATGAACTACAGAATATTATTCCACATATGTTTTGGTTTTGCTGCACCAATAAAAGATTTCACAGTGGAAGGCAGTCCCCACTCTGTGCTGAGAAGTCTATGGCTGTGTAACTTTCCAGAAAGATCTCTATTTCTGTCCAATACATCAACTTCAACCATGCCTGGATTCATAGGGTTTGGGAATTTCTGCATTGCAGCTGTTATAACAGTTCCCCACAGGTAGTCAAAGACATGCTTCAAAGTCCAGATCTTCATGGTGCTGGCAGCCTGTGCAGTGTCTGGACGGTGCAAAGAGGCCAAGATGCCACACCTATTTTTTTTTTAATGTAAGCATTGTATTCATTCAACCAACACAATGCACTTTGGTTTCCTTATCTACAAAATGGAGATATCTACCTTCACTGAATTATTATGAAGATTTCAATATTAATAGATATTCAATAAATGACAACCCTCTCACAAGTTCTCTGAAGGCTGAGCACGGGATCAACACTGGATGCATTAAGAATACAAATAGGGCCCGGCCGGGCGTGGCTCAGCGGTTGAACGTGGACCTAGGATCCAGGCAATCGGGGTTCGATTCCTGGTCAGGGCACATGCCCGGGTTGCGGGCTCGATCCCCAATGACTCTCTCATCATTGATGTTTCTCTCTGTCTGTCTGTCTCTCCTTTCCTCTCTCTGAAATCAATAAAGATATATATATAAAAAAAGAAAGAAAGATATAAACTTTAAAAAACAAAAAAAGAATACAAATAGGTCACTGCTCTCAAGAAGCTCAGGCTCCAGGACTACCTACCACCAAAGAATTCTTGATATGGTTCAACTTCTGTTTTTCCCCTCCTGGTATCAAACAGGATGGGAAAGTTCAAGAGAAAACACTGACATGTTTTACAAAAAGCTACAAGTTTACTAATAATATATTCTAACATGTATCACAGTTTCAAGCAAGTCATTTTGAACCTCAAATAAGAAATCACAATATTCCTATTAATTGAAAGTTTAAAAAGGGTAGTGGTGGTGATTTATGGGGTTTCAGTTCAAAATGAAAATGCAGAAAATACTTACTTTGATGGATCTATGTTGATGCCATATTTCTCCTTGAGAAGCTTCATCTGTTTCTCCTGTGTCCATCTTCTGAAATGCTCTTTTGGCATGACAGTACAAAACCACGAGGTTCTTACAAACTGAATCCCGACAGGTGATCACAAGCATTCTTGGCATCAAAGACATCTTCTCAGGTCTGGCCAGTGTGGCTCAGTTGGTTGGAGCATTGTTCCATGCACCAAAGAATTGTGGGTTCAATCCTAGGTCAGGGCACATACTCAGGTTGTGGGTTCGATCACCAGTAGGGAGGGACAGGAGTCAACCAATTAATGTTTCTCTTATTGATGTTCCTCTCTCTCTCCCTCCCCCTTCTACCTTCTCCCTCCCTTTCTCTCTAAAATCAATAAAAACATATCCTTGGGTGAGGAGTTAAAAAAAAAAAAAAGGACATCTTCATAGACCCTATGAGCTGTTTCCCTAGTTTCAGGTGTGTTCCCCATTCTGATTTGACGAATAGGTCTGTATTTCCCAAATATATCATACATTCATTCAGCTGTGATTTTATAAGACAAATGTTTTATATATAAAACCTGATTTACTTCAGGTAGAAGCTGAATGTTTGCCCTCTTGGGCGCTTGCACTGCCATTGCGGCAGGCTGATGAGGTTACTGCAGCAAACACTGGAATTGCTCCTTACCCCTCTGGAGCTCACTCAGCTTTGAGCTCAACAAGGTGTCAGTTATGGTACTTTCATTTTAGAATTTTAATTTTTTATGAATTCCAATTCTCTGTGAAACACTCCATCTTATTTATTTACTTTATTATGCTAATCAGATATTCTGAAGTCTATGTGTGATAGCTCCAATATCTTAATCTCCGGTGGATCTATTACCTCCCCCCACCCCCAGTCCTGTTTCTTAGTATGCCTAGTGACTTGACTGTCAGGCATTGTGTTAGAATGGTGGAGAATCAGGATAATGTCTCCCTCCAGGGTGAACAGCAGAGAGACAGGCTGCCACAGGCCAGTCGGGGACTCAGCTGAAACTGAGCTCATCTGCAGTCCTTATGAAGTCCACAATGGCTTGCCCTCACTCCCATAGTACCACCCCCAAAGGTCCCAGCTGAGAGTCTGGCATATTTCTTAGGGTCATTCCTACTTGACAGGCCCTAAACAATTCCCTAGCACCATGAAACTGCCAAAAATCCTATTCTGCTTTTCAGCCACTTTCTGCTTCTCTTGCCTAAGCAGAGTCATTAGCAAATGCCTGAAGAGAAAACTGCTGCCGTCAACTTCACCTCTTTGGCCTCCTTCCTTACAGGAATCTCAGCCCTCAGGTCCCGATTCCTCAGCAGGCCCAAACCCCAGCTTGGTCTTCCCAGCCCTGCAAAATTGTGTGGAGCTCCTCTAGCTTCTCGGCCTCTTAGCAGCCACCTGTGCCCAGCCCTGAGGGGAAAAGCCAGTGCAGGGAGTAGGGCTTACCTTCTTGAGCTCCCCTCTGAGTCGTGGCTGCTGGAGCGATTCTGCAGATCTTCAAGCTGATGCCTTCTGAATTATGGCCAGTTCTTTGAGTCCTCAGCAGGCAGTGGTCTACTGCAAGCTACTTCATGGCCAGAAGCAGTCTCTTTTCATTACTTGGAATGAAGCACTGAAATGGAGTTGGAAAGGATATAGGTTGATAACTAGGCAAGCTGGTCTAACTAGCATAGGCCGTGTGGACATCTCTGAGCTACAAAGGTCCCGTGCAGAGGTATGTAGCCAATGAGAAAGCCAGAAGGGACACAGCCCATTCTTCTCTGTCCAACCAAGAGTCTCCAGGACTGAAAACCTTTGTATGCTCATCTGAACCCTATGGTATTTGTCATCAGCCCAGTCCTAAAAATGAAGTTGGCACAGTGCCAAGACATAGCAATTCTACATGTTAGAAACTCATTCTATAGCTCCTCAGAGAACTGGAGCATCTGTCCTCAGCTTAGGTCTATTACCTCACTCCTGGAGAAGTAGCCTTGGGGCCTGTGGACTGCCAGCACCAGGGCTGCTTCCTTTCTGGGGACCCTGCCCCCTTGGGTAAATGGGCAACGATGGTTTCAGATGGGTAATGCTGGTTTCTGAGAAGAGCTGCACCCTCTTCAGCTGCACTGGCTGTCCCATTTAAGTGTGAGCATCTCGCACAAGGGGAACTGACTTGGTCCTCTCTGATGAATGAGTGAAGGGACAGGGTTCTGTTACTGGGCCAGTCTCCTTAGCCTTCATGTCCCAAATCGTGGCGGGATAGAGGCATGTAATCAAGGGAGATAAGAGAGCACCAAAGTTACAGCTCCTAATGGGAGAGGAGGGAGGCTCTCCATGAACTGAGGAGCCTTTAGAGCAATAGGTAAGGTCTGGCCAGAAAGCAGAGCTCAAAACCACTTTGCTCTGTCATGGAGGTCCCAGGAGAAAGGCTGAAGATTGCTGGAGAGCAGACCCGAAAGCAGGCTGGCATGGGCTTATCTCCATGGAGAGAAGGGAATTGCCCGTGCCCAAGCACAGTAGGATTGTCATGTGGGCAAATGGCCTCAGGGGCTGATACTTGTGTGATGGTGTCACCCCACAACACAGTGGCCACCACACCTCTCATCACAAAGCCTCAGGCCTGAGACCCAAAGGTGGGCATCTTTTCCAACTCTGCCCACTCCTTTCTGGATGGGCCAGCTGAGGAAGGCTGATCCTACTGTCTTCTCCATATCCCTTGGTCACCATGTCCACTATTCCTCTCTCTCTGTTCACCTTCCATGCTCTGAGTATTCTTGCACCTCAGAGTGCAGGACAGAGGTGATGTGACCCTACCAGTGGGAAGGACACTACAATACCCAAGCTCCCCAGGGCACTTCTCCCTGCACCACCATGGGAAGCCATGCGCTATAATATTCCTATAGCTAAATTCTTCTCTTGGGGGAGGGGGCATGCGCAGTGAGAGCCTGTGGGAGGCTCAGGGGTGTGAGGAGAAAGGCTCCTACTGAATCATCCTCCCCCAGTGCCTCAGCCTTCCCCCAAACTGCCCTCCAGAACAGTCGGCTTGTCAGGCCTGCTGTCAGTGAAGGATGCTGCACTTGTCCTGCCCTAGCTGAGGGGGCTTCCTAGAGGGGCTGCCTATGCTGGGCCCCTGACGGTGGGCAGACACGGGGCCCTGCCTCCATTTTCCACCCAAAGGTCTTGGCACTGTCCCAGGGAGGGGCCTGAGATGCACAGAGTCCCAGGTGTGGAAACAAGAAGGTGACCCCAGGAGAAGATCAGGAAAGGCAGCTGCAGACTTTGGCCTCCTCGGGAACTGCAGGTTTTGGGCTCTGGGGAATAGCTTTGGTTCTCACCCCACCTCTACACTCCACTCACCTTGTGAGGCTGACTTTCCAGACACTGGGAAGCCCACATAGAAGCACAGCTGCCAGTCAGAGGTCAGTGCCCCTCTCCGAGCGTGGAGGTGTAGCAGGGCAGCACTGGCCACCACCAGCCACTTCAATCCCGATGCAGCCATGGACTAAGGCTCAGACAGAGCAGAGATGGCCACAGGAGTCCAGGAATGAGTCCAGCCTAGTGCTCTCCAACCTGGTCCTCTGGCCAATGCCAGAATGGCTAGAGGTAGGTGGCCTTGTTGATCTGGCTCCCCATCGTCCAAAGACTGCTGGAGTCATGGTGGGCCATGGTGGTGGGGGGTTCTGCCTATGCCAGTTCATGGGTGATCTGCTCCTTTCCTCAGTTGGGCTCCTGTGAGGGGGCACTGATCCTCACAGGTGCCTCAGTCCACCTTGATAGCCATCAAAGCTGGTAAAACATGAGTTTGCAGTGGGGGCCAACACCAGGCTGCCACAACAGCCTGTGCCATCTTGCTGTTCCCATTCCTACCATGACTGGCTAATAAAAGAAAAAAGAGAGTGTTAATAATGTCATTCATCTTAGCCAGAAGGTACCACCTGTTTTGAAACATCAAACTCCTGACAGGCTGTTCCATTTTTTGGTTATTTGTTCATGAACTCATTTTAGAGTACAAGGGGCCCCTGAACAATGACAAAACTGGACAAGAAGTTATGTGATGGTTCTTAGTCCTTGGACACCAGTGTAGAACAGTAATTCCCCAAGAGAAGGGAAACTGAGAAACCGTACCAGCTATGGACAAGGTAGTTTCCAGGCTACAGTGCAAGGAGGAGAAACTCAGACAGATCCAGCCATCTCCTGGAAGGAGACAGAGTTAGGAGGTCATGGAGGCCCAGGCACCTAGGATGTATGAGGCAGAGTGTTGGGGGACGGGGCTGCAAGACAGCAGAGATCCAGGATCTATAGAGAGTTCCTTGAGTCTTCAGCTAAGGACAGGTCTGTGCCTGTGTGAAAGAAACTATGCAAGGAGGCTGGGGCAAGAATCCCTGGAAATGAGCACACAGAGTAATTCCCAGGGCTCATACAGGGATGGGAATATTTTGTGTCCCCATAAGCCACGTGGAAAGACCTAATTCACAGGATATTGGGTAGAATCCTCAGAAGAGCATCATTCTTTTTAACAGGGCTAAATTAGCTGTAGACCAAAGGCAGCTCTAAGCCTATCCTAACAAAGCTCAGAAGGAAGCCTGTAAAGATCAACTGATGACAAGGAACTTAACTATATGCCAGACCAAGATTAACACTATTTGAAAACCCAGCAACCAACAACATAAATTCACAATGTCCAGTATCATGTAAGAAAATGGCCTGTTAGGGTCCAGCCAGGCCACAGAAACCACATGGTATTTTTTTTTTTTAATATATCTTTATTGATTTCAAAGAGCGGAAAGGAGAAGGAGAGAGAGAAACATCAATGATGAGAGAGTCATTGATCGAGCCTGCAACCTGGGCATGTGCCCTGACCAGGAATCGAACCCTGATCGCCTGGATCCTAGGTCAACACTCAACCGCTAGGCCACGCCCGGCCGGGCACCACATGGTATTTTAAACAATGGAAGTTTAATATAAAGGATTATTAACAGCTTGGCTAGTGTGACTCAGTGGTTGAACAATGACCCAAGAACCTGGAGGTCACAGTTCGATTCCTGGTCAGGGCACATGCCCGGGTTGGGGGCTCAACCCCTGGTAGGGGACATGCAGGAGGCAGCTGATCAATGATTCTCTCTCATCATTGATGTTTCTATCTCTCCCCTTCCCTTCCTCTCTCTGAAATCAATACAAATTTTGGGGGGAAAAAAGAATTATTAACTATTTATACGGAATTAACTAAAGGGAACAAAAGCGAACTCTACAGAATCCCCTACGGTGAGAGGTACCCAAGGAAACGATTCTGACCTGGGAGATGGATGGTCACAGTCCACTGGATGGAAGCTCAAGGGGCTCTCCAGACCAAGGCTGGGAGCTAATAACCACCTGTGAGGATGCCAACAAAATTAGCTGGGAAGCTGTCTGCAGAGAATGCTAGGATGCCACCAGGGTGGAGGTGCTGAAGACCTTACCAGAAAGCTACCAGGAGGCCAGCTAGGATTCCTGTGGAACTTGCCTGGCAGTGCCTGCCCTCTTCAAACATATAGAGAACCTCACTGCTGGCATCTGTGAGAGTGCTGCTGAATTTGTAGCTAGGAAGCTACCAGAGAAGGTGCCATGGAAACTCACGTGGGCACCCCTATGTGTCCCACACATCACAGAACAGGAATAAGTAAAGCACACAGGAAAAGAGGCCTTTTCTCTTCTAGCACCCTCCACTGACAAAGATTAGCACCAGGCTAGCTAGCAAGGGAGAAATGTTCCAGTATTACAAGCAGGCAATAAAGGGTGGATTGATAGGTACTATATCAGACATGCAAAAAAGAGAAAATATGACCTATGACCATAAGAAAAATCGATGAATAGGAACTGACCTGAAAATGACAGAGATAAAGGAACCAGCAGACAAGGACAATAAAACAGATATTATAAACATGCTTCATATATTTAGGAAGGTAGAGGGAAACATAAGCTTGATGAGGAGATCATGGAAGATATAAAAAGGCCCAAATGGAACGTCTGGAGATGGTATAAACAGCATCTGAAATGAATAAATACACAGTATTGGATTAACACCAGATAAACAATGGAAAATATCAGAGCTCAAAGACATAGAAAATGAAACTATTCAAACAAAGCACACAGAGAGAGAGAGAAAAGGTACCAGACATTATCAAGGAATCCAATGTGCAAAGAACTACAGTCCCAGAAAAAGAAAAGCAAGAAAGAGACAGAAACAATATCTGAAACAACAATAAGAAAAAGCTGCTAAATATGATGGAAACTATACATTCACAGACCCAAGAGGATTTATAAAACTCAAGCAGAATAAGCCTCAAGAAAACACAAAGGCACATCATAATCAAGTTGTTGAAAACCAGTGTTAAAAAAGAAATCTTAAAAGCAAATTGGCCCTAGCCGATTTGGCTCAGTGGTTAGAGTGTGAACCTGCAGACTAAAGGGTCCTGGATTCGATTCCAGCCAAGGGCACACACGTATCTCGGTTGCAGGCTCCATCCCCTGCCCCGGTCAGGGCATGTGAGGAGGCAACCAGTTGATGTGTCTCTCTCACATTGATGTTTCTCTCTCTCTCTCCCCCTTCCACTTCCATTCTCTCTGAAAAAGCAATAGAAAAAATATCCTTGGGTGAGGATTAAGAAGAAGAAAAAAAAAGCAGCCAGGATAAAAAAGCACATTATGTACAGATAAATAACGATAAGAATGACAAGAAAGAGAGTTCTGCTTTAAACCAGAGGACAATGGAATGTCACCCTTATTATTTTTTTTTTACATTTCATACTAGGGCTGTGCCATACTTTATTTAATTAACATTATTACTGCCCTGGCCAGTGTGGTAGTTGGCTGAGTGTTTTCCTGTACACCAAAAGATCACCAGTTCGATTCCCGGTCAGGGCACATGCCCAGGTGTGGGCTTGATCCCTGGGTTTGGGGTGTGTGGAGGCAACTGATCAGTATTTCTCTCTCATTGATGTTTCTCTCTCTCTCCCCCTCTCCCTTCCTCTAAAGTCAATAAAAACACTTTTAAAAAAAATCCCTGTAAAAAAAAAAAATCTCTAGGAAACCCCAAAGACAACTGAGGAGATGAAAACAAGGACACCAGAAGAAATTTTAGCTCTGACACCTATAGCTTTAGTACAGCAAATATAGCCTAACTCCTAGCTAGGTAAACGTAAAACCTCACACTAAAGGCCTACTTTCCTCAGTTACTGTTACCCAGTGCATCATGTCTAGCACTCAAAAAATTCCAAAGCATACTAAAAGAAAAAACACAGACTTTGAATATATAGAGTAAACATCAGATCAAGCCAGACTCAGAGATAGCAGATATGTTATAATTATCAAGCCAGGAACTTAAAGCAAGTATAATTATGTCAAGGGCTCTAATGCAAAAAGTGGACAACATGCAAGATCAGATGAGTAATACAAGAAAAGAGTTGAAACTTTTTTAAAAATATGTATTTTATTGATTTCAGAGAGAAGAAGGGAGAGTGAGAGAAGCATCAATGATGAGAGTCATTGATAGGCTGCCTCCTGCACACCCCCTGCCAGGGATCAAGCCTGCAACCCAGGCAAGTGCCCTAACTGGGAACTGAACCCACAACCTTTTGGTGTACAGGACAACACTCCAAGCAATTGAGCCACCCAGCCAGGGCAGAGAGATGAAACTTTAAGAACCAAAAGGAAATGCTAGCAACAAAACAAAAATTGTAATAGAAATGAAGAACACTTAAAAAAAATCTTTATTGATTTCAGAGGGAGGAAGGGAGAGGGAGAGAAAGAGAGATAGAAACATCAATGATGAGAGTCTTGATCGGCTGCCTCCTGCAGGACCCCTGTTGGGGACTGAGCCTGAAACCTGGGCATGCACCCTGACCAGGAATCAAACCTCAGTCTCCTGGATCATAAGTTGATGTTCAACCACTGAGCCACGCTGGCTGGGCTGGACAACACTTTTGACTATAGTCTAGCAATCAAAAAATTCATAGACTATAGACACAGCCAAGGAAAGAATCAATGAGCTTGAAGAAATGTCTGAAGATATTCTTGAAACAGAGTATTTAAGAACTGTGGGACAATTAAGAATGGTATAATATATGGATAACGGGAATATCAGAAGGAGAAGAGAGAAAAGAACAGAAGAAATACTTGAATCAATAATAACTGAGGCTTTTCTAAAATTAATGGTAGACACCAAACCACAGATACAGGAAGCCATAGTACACCAAGCAGGATAAATACTAAAAAGGCTACACTAAGGTATATCATATTCAAACTGCAAAAAATCAAAGACAGAAAATTCTGAAATAAGCCAGAGGAGGGATAAAAAAAAAAACCACCTTACCAAAGTGGCAAGAATAAGAAATACAGTAGACTTTTCATCAGAAACCATTCAAGCAAGAAGGGACTAGAGGAAATATTTACAGTGTTGAAAGAAAAACCCCTCCACCAATCTAGAATTATAAAAAGAGAAAGACTTTCTTTAAAAAAATCTTTTTATTGATTTTAAAGAGAGAGGAAGGGAGAGGAGAGAGAAGAACATCGATGTGAAAGACCAACATCGATCAGCAGCCTCCTGCACACCCCCTACTGGGGGTCAAGCCAGCAACCCGGGCATGTGCCCTGACCAGGAATTGAACCAGCAACCTTTTTGTGCATGGGATGACAGTCAACCAACAGAGCACACTGACCAGGGCATATAAAGGCTTTCTAAGACCAACAAAATTTGTTGAATTTGTCACCAGTAGACTTGCCTTGCAAAGAATGTTAGAAGTTCCTCAGAAAAAAGGAAAATATTACAGGTCAGAAGCATAGATCTATACAAAGAAGTGTTAGAGAAGGAATAAATGAAGGTAAATTTTTTATTATTATTA